CAGCTCACTGTCAAAGCCACAAAAATAGATAACAGAAACGCCAGTCAAGCAGTCATGCTGGAAGCAGAAGACAGTTTACTTAAAGTTATGGAAAGACTCAACATCGAAGTTCTGGATGATCGGTTCGGAAATCTTTTGATGCAAACGTTCGGTTGTTTATCTATGTCCCGTCTGGTAAGTCGTTATGAGTCCGGAGCGAAATTAATCATCTGCAACGTAAGTTAAATTCACGTGATTAAATTTTGCGGAACATAATGTCTCGGAAAAATGCCAAGAAAAATAATTATGATTGATATATTTACATATTATTTCTTGGCTGGGACGATTTTGCTGATGAAATATTTAACCGCTAAAACTATATAATTATTTTCGCTATATAATTATCGAATTATACCCATCAGGCAATGGATCCCCCGCTTTCAATCCACTTGTCGAGTCTGATTCGGTCATTCAGATTTCGTGCGTCGTTTAAGTCTTGCCCGGGAATCGAAGAAACGACTGATCCACGCGAACTCCTCTCAATTTCCATTTTCAGATAATCGCAAATAGAAGAAAAGTTATGGCTATTATGGAAAAATAAGCTATGAACAATATAGACGACGCTATGACGGATCCCTTTTATGACGGGTAGGTTACCATGCAATAATAGACGTGAGGAAAATGCGACAACTTGCCCAGGTCGAAGTGCTACCACTAATCTTGAGTTGAGGGAAAAAAAGTTCTCCACCTTCGAAGTCACCAAGAGCTATCAAGCAACATAGACTATTTGACTCGTCGTGTTTGTCCCAATGGAAATCGCTTATTGAAATTGATTATGATTATTGAAAAAATATTAATAAACATTCACCATTTTAAATTTAGAATTTTTCATACAAGCTCTGTTTATATTCCTCAACAAACCTATTAACATAGACTAATAGCAAATTAAGACTGCGAAGTAAATTAAACTTGATATTGGGCTTTCACGACTAGAGATGGAAGAGGGAAGGGTAGCAAATATATTAGATCAGTGACGTAGTAACGACGTAAGACAAGACAATAACGATACGTAGTGAGTTTAGTATATACAAATAAAGCCAACTTGGGTCGGGATGACCGCTTAACGGTACCTGACTCCTGAGCGGAATTCTAATTGATGAATTACAAAATTATATCTGCGTCTAGATCAGTGTAAGGCTATCGAAATTAGAGACACTATTTACGCGACGTTTATCAACCGTAAACCAACCGTTTAATTAATTACATTTATTTTCTTGATAAAAAACCAAAACTATGTGGAATTTGATTATTGTCGCTTTAGCCGCGTGTTTGTTTATCGTAACTTTCCCTATTGCCTTAGTTCTTTGGGTAATTGGGTGTGTTTTTTTCTGGATATTTATAGTGCCTTCAATGTTAATTAAAAGTACCTGGGCCATATTTGGGTATAGCATATGGCGTGGCTGGATCTTCATACAGGAAAATTTGCAGACGCGAGTTTTTAGAGGAAGTACAGTATCAACGCTATTGTATATTTCCTAAACAAATAATTCTTTAAAAATTCACGTTATTTATTTTTTATAGAAACCTGCGAGGTTAGGATAAGTGAATACTACTACGGTCAATTGTGTAAAAAAATCGAGACCTATGTATGGTCGTGCTGTTAAAGTTCTGGGAATTGAAACAAGCTTCGGAAACCGGTCATTTCCTCAGCGAATATGATAATGGGTTAATTGTTGTCAAACCAATTTCAAGATAGAAAATGATTAAAAACAAAATCACTAACAATCGATACAGGAGAGCGTCAGGAGCTGGATTGGGAAGCGAATAGGCATTGAAAACAATTCCGGCTTAAAGGCTTGTAATTTAGTTATGCATTTACAAGATTCCATAGTCTACTGTCTAGTAACGAATATTTTCTAAATAGAATGTTTCGATGAAAGAGTGCCATCTGAAAAACAAGCGTATGTCAATCTTCTCAGGAAAGAAGCGAAAGGCATTACCGATCTGACTCTTCGTCTCGGCTATCAACACGGTCGACCACTAGATATTTCGCTTGATGAAAATAATCTCCATCGGAACGTTCAACTAGTATATCAGTAATGATGCTTAACAAAATCGTTTTTTACAATGGCGGATTAATTTTTCGTATTTTAACCGAACACATAATCGTCATTCATATTGCTTTATTAAAAAAGCTTGAACTCTGGTATATGTTATGCTATATCTAATCTCCATACTTTCCCCAATGACAATTATAGCAGAAGGGGTCCTCATCTTCGCGATAGGTCCATTCCTCGATTGAATCAACTGTGATCTGAAAATCTGGATTGTTTCCATTCCACCATGCAACGAATTTTTCAGGAGTAGTGAGCCCTTTTTCTTTGAGATCGAACATATACTGTATTTGGGGTCGGGAAATTCGAGAGTGTATTCATACAATCTCTTAAGAGAAACTTAATATTAGAATGAGACGCAAGCAATTAGTAATTTTCTCCAAAACATGTTGAACCAGAATAAATAAGATACAATACGGATGCTGTGCTTAATCGTTAATCTTTTAGATTCTTCAGAGTCACTATCATCTTCGTCAGGTGAGTACAAATCATCCTCTGAAAATTAAATTTAATGAGTTTAATATTTAATAATACTTGGAAAAAAGCGGTACTCTCAATTCAATGAAGTATATTGTATTCGAATGTTAGACTATATAAAGAATGCTGTTTACTAACAATAATTCACTTTAGCGAAGGAAAAAAAATTCAAAATGCAAAATCCAATGATATAAAAAATCGAAGAACAAGCTGTATATCATGACAGCTATGTAAGTTATGTTATTGTCAATATTATTTTATGGATATTTTATACTAACTTTTTCCCTTTGCAGGATTTGAATGATGAAATAAATAAAATTTTTCAGAATTTACAGCCATCCAATCTGTTTTTTAAACAAGATAATTGCTCAAAATGTCATCAGAGGTAAATGCATTAAGTCTTGTTATTACTATTATAATGGATAACAGTATTTACCTTCTTTCAATTTTTTAGATTAATATCTCTAGTTGATGATGTCAATGAGCTTGAGAGTGAAAAAGATAAACTAGCTGAAGTATTACACAGTCACTCTCGATAAGATGAAGCCGTCGGGCTGGACCAAAAGACGAAAGTTCATTATAACGAAAAATCTCGTTATAACGAAGGTCGTATTGAGTCACGTGAAACATCATTATATCAAGCGAAAATTTCTTTATTATCAGTTTAGCAAGCTCCGCTTGAGTAAAATTAAGTTGAGCTTTCTTTTTTTAAACACAAAATTTTTTTTGAACACCTGTTAGAGTAAGTAACCCGCTTTATTTACTAATTATACTTTTATTGTTCATCTGTTTTTTTTATTGTTGCGAACGAGTTAAAGAGTGTAAGAATTTATAATAAAAGCATCGAAATCCTAATTAATTGTTTTAATTTAATTGGTACACTTTAATATTATTATTGCAATAAAATTATGCGCATCTGATATAAATATTGAAGCCTTTGCCATAGGAAATGAACACGCTAGGAACAACTGTAATAGTAATTGATTATCATTGTTTCTTTATACGGCAGAAAACACGATAAAGGAATTGAAGATGATAATATGAAAACCGCGCTAACGTGACATTAAGTAGTTTAGAAAGCATAAAAAGTTTTTATTCAACAAGAGAACGCCAGCAGCTATTGAAAGTGCTGTTAATGGTTTGGAGAAATTTATTGCCAAAAAAGGGTAAATTTAATAAAAGAAGGTATTATGATTATAATATAAAATTAATGCTTATTTAACAACTGAGGATACTGATAGTCAAACTTTATACATAACTTTAGCCATAATAATAAAGGAAAATCTGTTTAATCGACGTAATCTTTAATACAGTGAGACTCCTCTAAATGCATACCGTCTCTACGTGCATACTCCCCGAGTTCGGACTTATGCTGTTATTGCATACACCATATTCAATCGATTTTTATGCATAATCACACGTGATATATTGTTGGTTTTTCTTAAGACTGACAATCATTTGCTCACCAAATAGTTTGTCGGTGTAATTATACGAACCCTTTTCTTGTGCAGTATAATAATGCATTTGTAATTATAACATAATATTAAGTCTCAATCTGTCTTTGACAGTCTGTTTAATGTAAAAAAAAAACCAACTTTCTTTATTTAATTCCGTTTAATTGCCCGCTTGCAATTACTATTTCTCATTTACAACAAAATAATCACCCAAATTTTTTTGTACTATATCCAAAACTCACTTGAACGCTTTAGCAATCGAGATATTGTTGGTTGATCGGCTACCGCTTTAACGTCTGTTTACACCATTCAATAAGATCCTTTTGGGTGATATTTGGATTATCCCGCTTTTTCACGTCTTTGTATATTCGTTAAGGTCGTTTTTGTCATGGAAATTTTTTTATTATCGCCTGCGGAAGAATTTATTGTAAATATACATCCACTCAATTATTAGTATGCGGCAAAAAAAAAAACTTAACCATTGTAGAAGAAGTTAATCTTAGCTCAGTACGCGTTGTATGAACGACCAGAAACAAGAACCACAAAGCTATCAGTTACGTATGTACAAACATTGAAACATAGACGGAGAAATGGACTTCAGAGCCCAACAATTATTTAGCGAATTAGTTGCGACGCTATTCTGAAATAAAGGTGAGCGAACATAACTTCATAGTATATTCAAGTTACTGTGTAGTGAAGAGAAGTATTAGACTCGACTCGATAATAAAAGTAGCTGGTGGCGTAGTACATGCAAATAAGACTACGTTAAAAGGACCGTATGTAACACAAGCGTTGAGTTTTAACTCAAACTATGTCGTTACCATCAGCAATTCGCAACTTGATCCAATCTTCCTTATCAAATGAGTATTATAAACTTGGATGGGTTTCTTGCTCGGGTATTCAATTCAAAACATCAACTCAAATTGATAATGTCTACCACGCTAGTCATTACAGCTTTGAGATAATGATGTTATACCTAGGAAATAGCGAAGAATGTACCCAAACACTTGTGAAGGAATTTGCTAGAATATACTCACTTCCGACACACAAGCACAACAATGAGGTCGGTCGGTTTAGACGACATAAGAAATGGCTCGTACGGCGTAACAGGCTGATAGAAGGCTTTACTAAATATGACGATAACTATTACATGGTTGCTAAGAGGCGCTTTTACCATTGTTACTCTCGATATGGATTCTGCACTGCATGCGGAATACTTCGATGTAGTCCCGTGTGGTGCATTTGTGGTCATAAACAATTATCCGATGGATGGACTAGCAACAATAAGCAACTCGATGAGTTAATTAAGAAATCTCAATTACAAACAAACTCACCCAATGACGCCTATTTGGAATGGATTCCATTTGATTGTATTGAGTATAGGAGATTTGGATATGGATCATACTTTTATGGTTTACCTACTCATGTGGAGGTTCAAGTGTTGCCAATTCCAATAACAGACAAGACGGATGATTCATATTATTATCAGGTGACTATCAATCAACGTATATGATATGTTTACCCATTGTTTAAATAAATACTGACTTTTCACTTTTCACTAGTGGTGTGATGATATTCTTGCCACTGATGTTTGGATTACCATCGGATTCACATACAATACAAGGAAACGAATGTATTATCTAATAACAAAGTTTGATGAGATTGGATTATGTCTGGCGTGTACAAAGCCATTAAACCCTCTGATACGTGCATTCTGTTTCGAATGTAAAACACCACGACCTCCTGACTGGACTACGGGCAACAAGCCTTTGGATTCATTTTTAATCGAGTCATGGAAGAATCTGAGAGATGAAGCTGATGCCTATATACAGTGGATAAAATACTCTTTGTTTACAAATGTACAAGAGATGACGTCATTGCGCCATGGATGCACACACGTAGCAGAATGGTTAGAGCAGACAGCGGATGAACCGACGAGAGTGGTACTCAAGAAGATAGTTGACGAGCAAAACGACCAATTATTTGATTTTCATCAGGTAAATTATAAACTATGCAAAATAGTATTATTTACATGCGTATCATGTCTTTAAATCGACCAATGTTGTAACGACTGTATTTGTTTATTCAAATAGCTAACAAAGGAATACCCGACGATATTAACGCCCGAGAATATTTGGATAGTTGGAGTCACTCAGGTGCCGTCTACTCGGGAATATTATTTAGTATTCTATCACGAACTACGTCCAATATTGGACAAAATTATACGACGACATTGCAGTTACATACGATATACCGACTTTGATGGACTCGTTGAGATCGGATCTGGCAGTTACAGAACAGTCTATAAACAAGAAGGGTGGTTACCGCAAATTGTTGTGCGGTTCAAGAATTTTGATGGAATGCTGGAATTATTTATTTCCGAGGCAAGTAATAATTGGTAGTGTTAATTAACGTGATATTTAATTGACACTTTTTATTTAACAGCTTAGAAACCACGTCAAGTGTTTGAATTATTATCGTTTCCTTCGACTTTATGGAATCACACAAGATCCAGAAACAGAAGACTACATGATCGTTATGCAATATGCTAACCACGGTAGTCTTTTGTCTTATTTGGATCAACATATTAACAGATTGACGTGGAAGGATAAATTACGGCATTTGAGCGTTATTGCATGTCAACTGGATCGTATTCATGATGTGGGATTAGTGCATTGTCGTCTCCATGGCGGAAACATAGTTTTGCATGGTGAATATCCTTATCATAATCATCGTGAATCAGTCATCCCACTGATATGCGATCTTGGTCACTCACGATTAGTGAATTTACGCGAGTCAAATTCAACTCTTCGAGGCGTTTTCCCCTTTACCACAACGCCTCGCGATCTTCCCTTTATCGCACCGGAAGTCTTCCAAACTCGCAAATTCACTCAAAAATCAGACGTGTATTCTTTTGGTATGGTCATGTATTTGATTGCTACTGGTGAAATACCGTTTAGAGATAGGCAGTTCGATGGAGATTTAATAGGCAGCATTATAAACGGACTACGACCATCGATGCCTGATTCCGCGCCAAACGAATACAAAGAGCTTGCCGAGCGATGTTGTGATGCTGATCCTGATAAGCGTCCTGATGCAAATAGACTTTGTTATGATATTTGCCAGATTGGAAAAAACATGGACTATACGTGGTATACCGTTTATCATAATGATGTAAAACCGTGATCACATCACATATTCTAGCACGCTCTAGCTGTTGCTACGGGAGATCTTAATCTGTCCAAACCAAGACATGGCTAGGATTTGGATTCGGCTAATTTAGTGACTCAAACGGCAGCTTTTTGTAATTTGTGGATTATTTACAGTTTATACGAACCGTTTACTTCTCTTCCAAACTAAATAAATTAAAATATGTCAATACGAGTCAAATAAATCGAACACGTTTTACTGTCAGATGCCTTGCCGGGGTGGGTCATTCGAATATGTAAAAAAATATAGAGTTAAAAATGTCTCCAAAAGGTACCTTCGTGTCTATTATCACGTGATCAGAGAATTTCTCATTTAACCGACTTCGGTGTAACTTTATAAAGGCGTCATTTGCCGAGAATACAAACAATAAATCATATTTTCTCCACATAAGAATGAATATTCTCTGTGGTGAAAAAACTTTTTTTCTATCTCAGATGCGATAATACTTACAAATTGCCATGGAAAGAGAATGCGGAGAAAAGTTAGCCATCAAATTGTTATCAGCGTAGGATGAGACAGAACTATGGATGGATAAGTCTTGAGAACAGTTTTCTTTTTTGGAAAATTGACGATGACGAAGAATTGTTTGGTAACATCTGATAATAGAGAATTACTCCAAATTATATGTTGCCGTAATCATTTCAGTATTACTCATATTCATCATTAGTTATTAACAGTCCAAAAATTTATTATAATAGCAAAAACTTCTAATATTACTAATTATCCTTTTTGATTTACAATCTGGTTTGCTGTCTGTGGAAATTCGCTCTTCACACAAGGCAGCCATCATCCTTTCATTATACTAATATGTACATCAATCAACTACATAATAAAGCAGTTAACTGTTGCTGTACACTTGTGGATTAGCGTATGATGAACTTGTGTTCAGTTCAAGTATCCTTTACACGTTGGTGCTCCACATAAGCAAGGAATTTTGCTGTCTTCAATTGGGAACTGTGGTAGGAAGAGAAAAGAAAAAAGAAATACATAGGTAAGTGAAAAGAAGTAAAGTGTGTGTTGGATGCTGCCGAGTGAAGTAGGTAAGCGTGAACAATGCACATATACACAATAAATTTCGTAAAACCAAAGGAGACTACCCTACCCCTCCCCTTGTTCACATTTATATATCCCATTTCCCTATTCTCTCTTACCTTATAATCATAAGTAATCTCTTCTCCAATCTCAATATCCCGTTTGGCGTATATTCCGATCTTTTTCTGACCATCGAGTGTTATAATCTTAGCAGTACAATTGGGCTGGATTAAGCAATATTGCATATACGATTGATGGTTAGAATAATAGAACGATAGTTAGAACAAGGTTTGGAATAGTGAATAGAAGTCATATATACAGTATGTTATTATGAAATGTTTGTAAGCTATGGGTTTTATTGCTTTAGAACACAGCGAAGTATACTGAAACTTCAATGCAGGTAGAAAGGTCCGTTGGAAGCAGATGATGAGTTGATGAACGAGAGTGAGTCTGATCGTATTTTTACTAACGTTATTGAGATTGGTATTGCGGTTGACGCTGCATTTGATATTGGGGATATCATTATTCTTACTATTATTCTCGTTATCGTTATCGTTATCGTTGTCGTTGATATGTTCATTATTGTCGTTATCATTGATACTACTCCTTTCCGTCCGCATACACTTATTACCCAAACCCACTCTGATCCAATTCCACTCCTCCCCATCACTCCCGACCGAACAATATGCAAACCTACCGAACACGAATGATTTATAAACCTCGCAATATTTCCCTTCTTAGTCGCATCAATAACAGTATCATCATCAATCCTAAACAAATACGACCCGCCAACACCTTCCTGTTCATATCTCCTTTCTCTATGGTCAGCCACCGATTGTCTAACCACTTCTCCAACATATTCGATAACCATATCACTTGCATCGATATGCTCCATGGCGAATAAGCCCCAATCGTGTATCTGTGACTTGGCAAATCGTAATTGTTTCTTACGTCCTTTGAGTTGGTTGAATTTTACAATGTCATTTGTATCGGCGGTACCAGGAGTGCGGTATTGGGCCATGTCTGCGAGAATTAATCGATTCTTGGCACGGTTGGTACGTGAGGTTATCCGAGTGGTTGTATTGGTAGATGACGGGACAGCGATATTGGGTGTTGAGACATTTGTGCGGTTAGCAACATGAGAGACGTATCGCATTTTTTGGGACAGCGGAATTATATAGCGGCCTTCTGTTCTTGCACACCCAGTTGCATGTGGGGATGGAGGCGGAGACGGCGTCTTTGTTGTTATGTAATCGACTAGCATTAGAATAATGACGACACGTTAGTAAGAATGATACATACTTTAGCCGTAACTAACCGGCCTTCACGATAACCTAAACATAACATACCGAACGTAGTAACTGAATTGCCGCCGTCGAAAACCGTAGCAACTCCTTCCAATAATCCCTTCCCATCGACTCGTCCCGCTTTCTCCAACTCCAACGCCATCTTCAAATAATACAAGTCTTCCTCATCGACGACCTCGTCCTCTTCCAAATCCGGCAGCTGCTCCGCTTCGACGTCGAAATCTTCATCCAGCGTAACCTCCCAGTCGCTTTCCTCTTCCTCCGCACTCTCATGTGGCTCGGTTTGAGATTTTGAAATTTGTGAAGAGGATATGATATCGATATCAGACGTCGAACTCGAGGATGATATATCGGGTGTAACTTCATCCATAGGATGAGGTTTTGTCGGAGAAGATGAATGCGAACGTGGAGATGTCGTAGGTATCCAAAGACGCCGTGAATGTGAGATGGAAAGAGAGTTAAAGCTAGCCGATAGAGGTGGAGCCTTTATTGCTTCGTTTTCGGAAGATGATGAGCGATTAGATCTTGCGGTAGACATTTTTTGGGTCGATGACTTGAGTTTTGTTTGCTTGGACTGAGATTTTTGTTTTGGCCTCTGTTGTCTGACCACTTTCTTCCGTTCTCGCTTCGGATAATCGCTCCCACTTTCATCTTCACTACTACTAGTAAATTCAATGTTTCTTGTATTCCTTATTTTACGCGCTTTATCTTTATCTTCCTTTCCTGCTTTTCTTCCCTTTCTTTTAAGATCAATTTGATCATCTTCCAATTCATCGATTGCAATTATGTCAACAATATCATTATTCTTGTTACTCTCATACTCAGCATCAGCTACTTCCAGTCCATTAACGACCCGTTCATTTTCGCGGCGGCGGAAATCTTTAAGAAAGTCGTCATCATCAGATGATGTAGATAAATAATCACGCAAACGTTGGGGATGAAAACGTTTTTCTGGTTTGTTTTGTATGCGGGTGGTAGCCAACGGTAATGGAGGTGATGGAACAGTTAGATGAGTTGGAGAGGAGAGAGACGAGTCCGAGTGAATTTCTCCCTCCTCTGACGAGGAAGAAGAAGTCGTATATTTAGTTTTGCGATTATGTTTGTGTGATTGATCATTATCTGACGATGACGAAGAAGTGAAATCAATAGACCGAGGGCGACCTCGTTGCATTGCATTTCGGTTGTCTTCCTTAATATATGTTTTGGAAGATAATTCCGTTTCGGTACGAGTACGTTTCTTGAACGATGGAAGTTTCTCGTTGTTCGTCGGTACCATACCGTCCTTGAATATCAATTTGCTTTCTCCTGGAGACGCTTCATTATTGCCAATAGACCGGGCTTCATTAACCAATTTAATCTTATACATCTTAGCCTGTCGTCGCTGCTGCAACCTTGGAGTCAGGAAGTCGTAAATATAAGGCACCACGACTCGGTTCTTCACATCTTTCAAAAACACGTCCGCTAACTCTGTTTCGACCATCTTTCTTGAACGGTAAATTAATGCTGGAATGTCCAATGGTTCATCGAGAGACGTCTCAATATTAATTGATGATTTCTGATTTGGTGCGGAAGAGTTAGTAGCAGTGGTGTGATTTGATATTGACTGATCAGGAATCTTGGCTTCGTGAAAAGTCATCTCAAGACGATAGCCGAAGAGTAATTTATCGTCAAGGGCAGACATGCAACGGCGAGCATGAGATTCCATACGAAAGGCTATGTACCAATACTTGTCCGTATAATAAATCTAAGCGGGAAATTTGAAAAGCACAAGATTATTGGGAAAAGAATATTTGAGTTAAGGACACACTTCACACAATTATAATGGAGAACCAACCTCTTCAGGATCGTACGATTCAAAATATCCCTTTACGTCTTCAAGCCTTATTTTAGGATATGGTAAACAAGAGAAAGGAATTGTTATGTAGGGTCTTTTTTCATCGTCATCAGTTCTTGGCCGAAGCTATATACAAAAATTGATCCGATTAGGGCATTAGCTGTGGTTTGATTTCACGCACAAGAAACATACGCTGATTACGAGAATATCACTTACTTTGTGATCCTTTCCATCCTTATAGTTATCCTGGTCTCTATCCCGATCTCTATCCTTGTCCCTATCTTTATCGCGTACTCTACCCCTTCCTCTCCGTCTCTCATCATCTCGACTCCCAGTCCGTCCACTCTCACTTTGACTACTTCCATTGGAAGAGTACCAACTCCGACTTCTCCTTTCTGATCGTATTCTATCTTTTCGCCTGCCACTTTCTCTGTTCCTGTCTCTGTCTCTGTCCCTGTCCCTATCCCTGTCTCTGTCCCTATCCCTGTCCCTGTCTCTGTCTCTGTCTCTGTCTCTGCCTCTGTCCCTGTCTCTGTCTCTATCCCTCTCCTTAATTCTTTCTCTCCTCTTGTCTTTATCTCTCTCCCTCTCTCCTCTTTCTCTTTCCCATTCTCTATCTCTTCCTTTCCTATCTTTATCTCCTCTCCGCTCTCTCTCTCTTGATTCTCTCGACCGAGTCCTTCGATGTGGACGATAGCAATCACTACCGCGATGATTCCAACCTTCGTCATAACTAGAATCGATTTCGCCCTCTTCTTTGCCTTCGGATAAGTCTCTCTGGCTACTTTTTATATTCTGTGTAGACGCGGATGGGCTTATGGCATTAGTCTGTTGTGTCTCTTTCAGCACGGATTTACCATGTAATTTGCTATCTCTTGAAGGTGAAGTCCCTTGCCGCAAAACGGTATGCCCAATTGTGCTATTAGGTGAGAGATATGTTTCGCCTGACCTTTTATGGAGGCTATGATTATTTATATTGTCCTGAGTTGCATTGGCGAATTTGTTCCTTAAAGTGTCAAGTGAGAGTGGAGGCGGCGGATCTGTTGGACGTTCTATGGGAGGTGCAGCTGGGGGTTGTATTGGCACTGGTGAGAGTGAAGGTGGTGTAGGAGCGTCGCCTATTTCCATATCGTCATTGGCTGAAGATGGCGTGGCAGCTCCTATTTGGGTTTCTGAGGTATATTTTGCAAGAGGGGCGATCATTGCATCATACGCCGCTTTTAACGTAACACCTTTTATTAAGTTGATAAACGGTGGCAATAAATGAACGAGACAGTATAAGTCATTATATTTAATTTCTGAGCAGCACCGAACGTTCCCATTCCCCATAAATCTTTCAAGTCTCTCTCCTCTCCACATACTCACCTTCAGGATCAAACTCAACTTTAACTCTTTCATTTCCAATCTTTCGTCCATTTCCTTCCTTTACCGCCCGACGCGCTGCAGCACGCGCATCTTCCCCGTAGTAGGTCACTGTGGCGAGGCCCAAGCTTTCGCCAGTAACAGGGTGTATTTCGAGTTTTACCCTAACATCATCCCCGTAGTTGGAAAAGATAGAAGCAACTTGACGATCGGTAGTTATTGGGGGAATGTTGGAAACGAAGACGGAGGCCGGTTGTGGTGAACCAAAACGGAGATCGGGCTATTTGTGAGGAAGGTGAATGAAGGATTGGTTGAGAACAAAAAGACGGACAAGAAAAACGGAATAGAACTCGGCACGATATGAAAACGTCAATTTAATTAGAAAATTAGAGATTGGCTAACACTTTCAAAAAAAATTTTTTTTCTTCATATTCCAAAATATTAAAACACTTACTATGAAGTCCACGGGTTCTAAAGCAGTCAAATACACCTGTCGCAAGGGTGTCGATCCAAAGTTATTAAGTTCCAATCGTGGATCTGTAGGAATTATTGGAGCATGCTTTTTGGACAGGTGAAATGAAGCAGGTATTTATGATACGGAAGAATTGAGTATAAATCGCGGTAAACGAACATCGAATAATTGAAGTTTGAATAAAGAGGATTGAAGAATTAATGCAACTGATAAGTGTCGAATAAATGAAAATAACCAATTAATATTGAAAGAATTTTAAACGTGCTATCTCGAAGTGTTCGTCGGTTGGCATACGTACATTCTGTAGGGTTTCTCCACTGTATCGATATATGGGCTCTTTACTAGATTTCGTGGAACTGCTATCGAGTATTGGATCATATGTACAACGAAAATTACGGACAATTGATGGTGACTTGTGTGTTTGTTGAAGCTTTTGATGCTGCTTGTGAGTATTTTGCTGTTGTGTGCTTGTGTGCGATTGCGAGTCTTGTGAAAATTGCGACTGTTCTTCTCGAGGTGTTTGTTGGAAGTGTTGTGATTGCGTGGTTGCTGGTTGTTGTTCTTCTTCTTGCTGTTGCTGCTGCTGCTCCGATAACGATTGCTTGCCACCTAGAATTTCGTCTTCTCGAAATCTATATATATCAGCACTTAGTGGGGCTGTTGTAGGTAGTTCTAATACCGGAAAATAGTCCATTGTTTGGCTACTCGACGCTATTTCATTATTATTGTTGCTCTGTGTTGTGTGATCTGAGCCAACATTTGACATTTTATTGAATATTAATGATTAATCTTCGTAAGGTGTAAGAAATGCACAGCCTACACACAGTATTTGGGCGTCCCTGTGATGTGATACGAATTTGAGTCGTACAATATAAATATGTTGGGTAAAATTTTATATTAAACGAATATAAATAATAAAATAACGGAATAACTTAATTGATTAATAGACACGTTCTCTCTGAAGGCTTTGTATCCAGAAGACTTGAAGGAACGCATGGTTGCAAAATTCTTTCATAACGTCTATAAATTCGAGAGAATGGATTGTTGCATTTGTAGCAAGTATTCCAACTTTAATAAAACGATTGACGTCGGGTCGCTAAAAACTTTCCGTATTTTTGGACAATGACAGAGAACATACAAAAAATTAACCTAAATTTCAATTACTAATCCCACCTTTAACAGGTCAACTTGATCGGACACTTTGCCATCCGGACGGGGCGTATTTCAAATATGATGTATGGTAAATACGCGTAAATGACGTGAAAACTAGTCCGATGATTGGGTAGGGCGAAATGATAGATGTACTATGGAAGAGTTTAGCGAACGTTTGAAGACAAGACAACAATCGCTACACAGCTGCTTGGCGAGAGAAGTCATCATCTTATGAACTGGCATCAAGATCATGAACGAATGCGAGACTAACAGCAAGTTAAACGTTTAAAGAAGTTAATAGGTGAACGTTTAGTCACAGGGAGGACGCCTGTGAAGGTTCTTTATACAGCAGAGTATGATGCCCAATCCGTTGCAAATTATTTGTTAAATTTGATTACAGTCAGTTATGTCAAGCGAGTTAAAGTATAATGATTAATTTATTAAGAGCATAACATTATAACATGTCGATATCTCTTGCTAGTTATTATACACTTAACAAAAGTTGAATATTAAAATTTAATTAAACTTGATTAAATTGACTGTCTACTCCAGGCGCGAGGAAGGCAGCGTGTCCAAGAACCAAGACAGCAGAAGCACCTGTGTGTGAAAAGCAATAAGTAAAAGACATACGTAACGAGACAGTAGAATACACCGAAGCTGATAGCCACGAATTCTCATATAAATCCCAAGTTCGCATACTTACCAACGATCCAGAATATGGCCGACCCAGCAGATGAGATCCACAAGAGAGGAACAGAAATGAAAATGAGACCAGAATAAAGTTGCTTTTGAGTGATCACAAACGATTGGAAGACAAAAGGCTCATTTGGGGGGAGTTTACGAATGAAGTTAAGTCCGAAAACAAGGAAAATGATCGTGAATAAAAGCCAAAAATTCGTAATTCTGGAAACAATGGGAAGAGGTTAGCTAATAAAAACGATATTAACTAAACAATTACGGCTTACTTACAAGCAATAGATGAGTAAACCAAGAACAACCAGAATATAATTAGATTGGAAGTAAGTTAGATTATAGGATAGACGTTGGGTGATATCTAAAATAATATCGATATTAAAAAATCTGTTAAATCAAACATAGCTTGGACCCGAAATCACAGAAATTCTACGTATTTCCTTTCAGTCTACATACCAACCATTCCAGACGGCTTGGAAAACCTCTCTCTATCAAAGAATTCACTAGGCGGTCTCAGGTTACTCAACTTGTCATTCTTCAGTCGAGTTAAAAGTGAACGTCGTTCAGGCGAGATGGGGAGAGCATCCATAACCGACTCTGGATTTATAAAGCTTGCTGGCATATTGGATGAAGACGCTGAAGAGGAAGACATGTTAAAAATGAATATGGAGGATAGTAAGCGGCTCGTTGGTTATAATTTTTTGGCCTATCGAGAGGATGCACAGTGACGGTAAGCGATCTTTATAAGAGATAAAACCGGGTTTTTGTCATCCGAAGTGAGTAGTACAGAACGTTCCAAAACAGGCTGGGCTTTGCTATCGCTATTATTATTACCCTTGATTTAGTATTGGTGGCACACAGCTGTGGCTCATGTTCATTGACTAAAATCGATTTCGTAATGAAAAATTACGTTTTTCAAAAACTCTAATGTCGTATGTACTATGTAAGTAATGTAAAAATAACGCGAATAGTTATTATAATGAGGTGAGTGAATATTAAACATATCATAACTCGTTTTCGAAAATTACCTTCAAGGAACAAAGGTTCTTTTAATATATGTTACTAAAAATTCCCAGATTTTATATTTTATGAAAAGACATTAAGTATAGAATTATGTTAATATACTTTTTTATTAAAATTAACAAACATTGAAGTAAGATCTATTGTTGCAGCATAAATTGGTTGTTGACAAGTAATATTTTTTGAATTCGTTTCTAACAAATGGGCGAATATTATAAAGAAAATATTCTTATACTTGATAACTTTTTTTTTCTTTCTCAGCAATCATTCCGATTCTTGTGGCTGCAGCGATAATTTCTTCTTTCAATTCAGTGTCAATAATTCAAAGGAGGAAAGGACCAAGTGGATTTTTACAGATCAATTCGAAGATTTAGTTGACTAGCACGTTATAATAGAAGAGCTCCGGACGAAATGTATATTTTTTAATATTTACGCGTTATATTCCATAAAGTCACGTTTGTTTGCATTTTACCTCGTCCGTTTTTACGTATCTTTTTCTATATAATTTATTTCGTCTGTATTCTATAATTTGCTTTTTTTTTATAAAAATTTTTTCCCCAAGTAGATAATAGCGTAGGATTCAACCGCACTACGGCCGATTTCGAGACTGCGCATGGCTATATCGATGATGCGATCTTTGTTCGGGAAGAAAGTGGCCATGGCGATATTCAGAAGGCGAGATGCTTTCTGGTGATCGCGGTAAAGGCTGTCGAATTTACATACGAGCCCGGTATAGAAAGTATCAGGAAACATCTCGGCGGAATCGGTGCGAGTTATCGATTGAAGTTTGCGACTAAATGTTTTGATTATCAACATTCCATTGAAGTTCGTCAGCGATCGATTGTGCGCGTTCAAGGCAGTTGGGTGAATTGTTACTTTATTGTCGGTTCATGATCTAACCCTTCGATTTTGTCTGTTTTGTGACGTATACTTCTTTGCATATCTTGCTATCGAACTTTATTCTGCATAATAATAATAACAGTATTTAACGAAATTCTGGTAATTGGTAAACTATTCTATTTCTTATTTTATTATTGGCCTCATCACGTTTCTTCTATTAGGAACGATGAATACCTGAAGAAAAATAATTTTCGGCCACGATGAGAAAAGCCCCACCATTCATAGAATGATATCAACGTAATATGATAACAGATGCATAATACAGAATATATTATTTTATTGATAGTTCAAGCTATCAATTGAATTATATATTAAAAATTAGAATGATGGGAATGTCCGAGAATACTTGTTCGAATGAATTAATCAAAGCTTTTCTTGACCAACAAGGCATCAATGACAGCAAGAATGGTCCATTTTCTGTTCTCTGCTTCTTCGAAGACGACCGATCTTGGTGAATAAAAGACCTAAACAATTGTTGTAGTTGTGAGTACAAGTCATACTAGTCTCTTGGATAACTTGAATAATCGATAGGCATTCCTACCTCATCATCGACTTCTTCACTCTTACGGGGCAAACAATGCATAAACTTCCAGTCTGGTTTAGCGCCACCTTGTTCAGCTAATGACATTGTAACCTGAAATCCCGCAAAGTCCTTTAATCTCTGAAGTTTTTCGCTTTCTTGACCCATACTTATCCTGTTAAATTAGACAAACCCAAATCAGTATCCCGTTCATAATCAGTTATGCACTATATTTTCTAGCTTTAATTTCTGCTGCTCACCAAGTGTCAGTGACAATAATATCGGCATCTTTAACAGCCTCTTTAGGAGCGGTAGTAAAACTCAGTTCACTACCACTATTTTTAGCCTCTTTCTTGGCTATTTCAACAACATCAGCATCTGGTTGATAGTTCTTAGGAGTAGCCGCACTAAAGTGAATTCCTAGTTTGGGAAATGTAACCAGCATACTATGGAGCATGTTGTTCCCGTCCCCAATCCACGCGACTTTTAGTCCAGGGAGAAAATCTTTGGGATGGTGGAGATGTGATATGTATTCCGAATCCGTGTCTGAATGGGGACCAAATACTTCATGCATTGTCATCAAATCAGCCAATATTTGGGTTGGGTGGTATTTATCCGAAAGGGCATTGATTATAGGGACTGAAGAGTATTTCGCAAGTACCTAAACAAGTAAGTGAAGTGTCAATTTTAATTGATATAGAAACCCAGCAAGTCATCTGAATAGCGATCTGAAACGGGCTCATAGCTTTTACGATCTCTATACATTTTGACTCCATTAATTACCTCAATGTCGCTATGCGGACCAACTCTAGCCATAATTCCATCTGCCATACTTGATATTACTTTAGCCGTATCCAACAACGATTCATTGACACCCAACTGAATATCCTGTGATCCCAAGAACATTGGAGTGCCACCTGCCAGTACAGTAACGACAAGTGTAGGGATTAATATATGGATTCTCATATCCATTCAAGCATTTTCTTTAGACCATGTAATGTAAAATAAACAGTACCAAGATAAGCAGTGGCGCTTTCAGTAGCAACTCGAGTCCTAGTTGACCTCTTCGAGAACGTCAACGCAAGCGTCTTTCCCTTTAATGGCTCTCCTGAACCTTTTCCAGCATATTTGGCATTATATTTATGTTGGATAGCCGATCTAAGCAAGTTATAAATCTGCGATTGAGACAAATCTGCCAAGGTTATCAAATGAGGGATAGCTTTCTTCTGAGTCGATAGGACATGATGGTATCTTGCGGCGTTGTAGATATGTCCTCTACGGCGGACTAGTTGGTTGGCAGACGTAGTTGCCAAACGTTGGAGGAATAAGTGAGGCATATTGTGGTGAGGGATGAGGCAGAGGGTGAGATGAAGATAATTGAAGATGATTGTAATAGGTATACATCTCGTCCATTTGTCTACATATATATATGTGTGTGTGAGTGAATTTGGGCGAGATGACAATAATCGGTGATAATCAAAAAGTTAAACGCTGATTGTCGTCAATCTGGAGATTCGATCTTTATTTGTAACACTGATTTGCTGGCGTGCTTCAACGAAAGTCGCACAATTACATAACGTTGCTTATTAGCATTAATATTATTATAATATTTTACCCATGGACCAAACAGACCATTATTAATTGCATGACATTATCCAATAAAATGCGTTAAATGAGAATTCAGCATATTCCGATAATTTACGTGTCTGTGCGAAAGGACGAGATTACGATAATTACATTGTAAAATAGATCATTACATTTATTATTACGTCAGAGCGGTTAAAATACGCTTCTTTATATTGCATTTTAATATTCTCGGTCTGGTTTAGATATCTATAAGCTTATAAAATCTATTTACGTGGTCCAATTTGTTGATGCAAAGTAACTTGTGCGTTTGGCTTTTGTCAACTTGATAAACATTCCACGTATAAATTTATACCAATATAGATAGAAAAAAAACCTATTATATATTATTTATCTTAATCTTTTGTACGGTATGATATTGGTCTTGAACTTTTTAAATAAAATTTCAGACATTCTACAAAAAAACTGAGTGGGATTATTTGATGTACTTATTTTCTTTTACATTCAAATCGGAATATTACAGGGCCGCGCAATTACTTTGGACAAATTCCTGGGCGACAAAAAGCAATCAGACCTTACATCAAATCTCAAAACAAAAGAATCGGTACGAAAAGAAATTGAAGAATGTGAATTACTAGCTTACGGTAAACCTATTCAATTATATTATTATTTATTGTATATACTATTTTCTATCTATTTTCTATCGTTTGAATATCAAAACTTATCTATTAGTTGGTATACAAGAGATAACAACGGTTGAGAAACGTTGAAGTCTAGTGTTCCGATAAAATTGACATGCACGAACGCGTAAACCTGTTAATGTAACAGGTCCACATCAAAAACTGTTAACTACTTTCTCGTTCTACTCTGCTGCCACGGCACGGCGCACCTTCATTGAATGCATACTGAATCGAATTGCATATCCCTCCAAAATTAATACCTATCCCAGAACAGATGTAAAACCACTTTGAAGAACTCTGAAAAGTGAACTCACACAGCGACCCAAAATTCCGCCTCTGATCCGTAGATCATTTCCAGAAATTGCCTTGCGGAATTGCCGACCCTTCGCTACTATTTTTGGAAGCGGAATTCGGACAATCTTTCCATGTGATCAATTTCACGTGGCTACACTTTTGTCAAAATTTGAAAATTATTGTCTATGTTAAACGATGGTTGTCAAATTTATGTCTGTTACAGTTTATTTGATAATGACAAAAGAAAAACACTAAACGTACTATGTATATATCAAGCGATGGCTTTGCCTCATTTTTGTGCTATATGTAGCACAGTAGACAATGTCTAATACTTTCACGTTAATAGTTTTCTCAGCAGGTAGTAAATAACTTCATCTGTGTCTGTTTTTTGACAAACATAATAATAGCACGTATTTGTGTACGCATAAACCGTGGACAATGTTTTTAAAATAAATAAAGAATGAAAATAAGATTAGCTATGCATAGTGTGTAGTTTTCAACTCATCACATGACTTGCAGTTACATATAATAATAAGGGGTCGCTGTGTGAGTTCTTTCTTTTTCATATTACTGTAATAATATAGATTTCACTTCATTTTTTAAACTTGTGTTACTCAAATATTTTGTGTTCGCTTATAATTTGCGCGTTACATGCACATGATATTTCTTCTCTGCTACATATTTACGCGATACCTACAAACTGTAACCGAAAACAAAAAAAAAACGAAAAGAATGGAACCCTATGCTGGAAATGACGGTAAGGTTCTTGATTTATAGATTTGTTCTCGGGCAATAAACTTATCCACTTCTCCAGCTGTTTTAGAATATTTCAAAACTAACGATAGAGAAACATGGACTTACAAACATTTTTTAAATGAAATAAGAGAAACAATCATAAGTTCGCCACCATATTCTGATGACTGGAGTGGCTTAGATGGTGCATGGTATAGGAGGTATACCTATCATGCCAGTAAGGTAAGAAAAGGTTTCATGCGCGCGAACTTTACTAACTTATCAATGTAAGGGTGCTTCTGGGTCGTAGTTATACTTATGGTATAGTCCGATCCAGAGGTTTGCCGCTGTTTCCGGCGCCCAAGTGATGAGTAAAGAGCGCTTTTGGGTTGCAGTTATATTGTGATATAGTCCGATCTGGAGGTTTGCTGCTGTTTCCGGCACCCTTCTGGGTCGTAGTTATATTCATGATATAGTCCGATTCAAAGGTTTTGCCGCAGTTTTCGGTGCTCCCTCATTGCGACTTGCTATATATTAATATAGGATGAAAATGATAAACGTCAACAAATGAAGTCTTTTTTTCAAGACATTCTTCTTGAACGTGAAAAGGTTAGCATTCTAACATTACATTTTCAAGGATTATTCAAAAGTAAATTTTTATTGACTATATTTCTTAACCTGCTAAAATAGAGAAATGCTGAGAAAAATTATGTAGTAGAAGGTGTAAAAGTCCTTAATGAAGCAAGGTTTCGCAGTTCAAATGAAGTTACCTCTGCCATTAACAAACGATATCCTGAGGATCAAGCCAGGGAAAACAAAGATGATGCTTCGCACAAACGTCAATGTTGCCGAACAGAAGATGAACCACTGCAAACTCCAGAATAAGAAGACAAGGCAATTGTATCCTCCGTTGTTTTAATATACAGTATATGCTGCAACAAAATGTCTTCTCATCTTTCACATTTATGCACAGGTTTCAGAGATTGCAGATGAAGAAGAATGGGAGTTTGATACACCACAGCCAAGTTGGCTAAAAAATTGATAGAGGAACGTCATCTGTTAATCTCAAAAGATGATCCAATGGCTACATATAAATCATTGTTAATTATAGGGAAAATAAAATTAAAATTTTTAAAAATTTTTTTCTTTCCATTAACGGTGCCATCTTCATTTTCGTCTGTAGGATACAAGAATCGCCCGTGCTAGTCAAGTTAGTAAATGTTGGGCAAATATAGGTTTCATTTTTCTTGATGTTAGTAGGTTCTAACAAAGTTCTCTTTTCAGATCAATTTGGTGGAAGATTGTAGACTTGTCAGATCCTAAACTTGTAGATCTTCTTTCAGAATCAGATCTATCAGATCTGAATGTGATGTTTTCATCTACGTACCTAAAAACAATGACTGAATCATATATTAATATTGGAAACAATGGTAAGCTCATTAAGCATTCGAATTTTGCAGACTTGTTCTCAGTATAAACTAATTCTCTTTATTGGGTTTACTAGCTGTTTTAAAATATTTTGAAACTCATGATAGAAAAACTATAAGGGCGCTTCTGGGTTGTAGTTATATCCCATGATATAGTACGATCCAGAGGTTTTACTGAAGTTTTCGGTGCCCAAGTGATGAGATGATGCGCTTCTGGGTTGTAGTTATATTTTTAGATATAGTGCGATCCAGAGGTTTTGCTGAAGTTTTTGGTGCTCTCTCATTGCGATTCGTTAGCAGGATAAAGATAATAAGTGTCAGAAAGTGAAATCATTTTTTCAAGATATTATCCTTGAACGTGAAAAGGTTAGTATAGTTTGTGGCATTATAACATTAGTATTTTTTAACACGGAACTATTATCAAAAAATAATTTTTATTGATACTAATTATAATTATGTTCCATCTCTATTTAACCCTGCCAAAAATAGAGAATGCAGGAAAAAATCATGTAATAGAAGGCGTCAAAATTCTTAATGAAGCAAGGTTCTCCAGTTCTGATGAAGTTATTTCCACTATAAATAAACAGCATCTCCAAATCGAAAAAGTAAATAATGAACCACCACAAACTCCCAAACACCAAATATATCAATCCCAACAAAATCAACATTGAACGAGAACTGGAAGAAAAGTAGACAATTCTTATGAATTAGCCTTATTAATATATTGCTTGTCCATTAAGTTATAAGCTGTGTCAATTTCCCTTCGATTGACTTTGCTCAGTCTAAGTGGTCCCATCTAAATGGCAAGAACATAAATTCTTATTATTATCAGTATTTAGTATACACAAAAAAAACCGAAACCAGAAGTCTAATGAGATTTACTTTGTTTGTCTTCACATCATTGGTCGCCTCCTTCACCTCTTCTTGATCATC